ACAAACGCTATATCAACGAACGTCAACAATACTTTCTCACTGCAGTTCAATTACTCACTATCTACACAAACAGTCCCGTCACGTTGTCACCCTCTTTTATATACCAGACTACCCTATATCTAGTAAACGCTAAAGCATTCGCCAAAGTACAGGATAGTTCTAGAAAGTAGAGGGCGTGAGAATAGTCACGTGATCTCGATGACGCAACAGTACTTTAGGGTTAGTCTTGCTGGATCACCATATTCCTATAGTACTTTAGGGTTAGTCTTACGGGATCACTATATTCCCATAGTACTTTGAACAAGGTGTGAAAACATTCTCTATCGTAAGAAAAAAAGCAACAATCAGTTTCTTCGATATAGGTTTTTTTCCCTTACAGCTGTTAGATTGTTTGATAAATAATAACAATCAGTTTCTTCAATATAGTTTTCCCTTACAGCTGTTAGACTGTTTGATAAATAATAACAACCAGTTTCTTCAATATAGTTTTCCCTTACAGCTGTTAGACTGTTTGATAAATAGTAACAACCAGTTTCTTCAATATAGTTTCCCCTTACAGCTGTTAGACTGTTTGATAAATAATAACAACCAGTTTCTTCAATATAGTTTTCCCTTACAGCTGTTAGACTGTTTGATAAATAACATTGTTAGTGTGAGACATTTGAAGGTGTTCGAACATTTTTATTTTTAAGAGGTGTTGTTTATTTAATTTAGTAGACGGTATAGGGTAAATGTATAATATGGGAACAGGAGGCTGGAAACATAGCTGCTTAGGAAGATTAGCAGAATGGTACGATATCATTTCATTCTGCCTGTACCACTCTGCTAGTCTTCCTGGATATCATTTCATTCTGCCTGTACCACTCTGCTAATCTTCCTCGATATCATTTCATCTATGTATCAAGTGAAAGAAACATTTATTCTATAATTTCTCAAATTTAGTGACACGATTTTAGCTACTGCAAATGTCGAATATATTCCCTATGTATCTGACTGGATAGAAGCATGAGTGCCCACAGGAAGGGGCAAGAGGGGGTATTTGCTCCATTTACATTTCACAAGATATTGCACATATTATGATGTAAACTTAACATTTTAGTTAAACTAAATATTTTTAATATTTTTATTAAACTGTAAATTTATGTTTGCGTTTAAGCACACATAACACACATTCTTTTAGTCTGTTGACTTACACAGTAAGAAATGATTCTTACATACATGTCCCCCCCCTAAAATATTTCTGTGGGCGCTAATGATAACAAGTGTTTGAAAGTTGTGTATAGCTTCAGTTTTGAACATTATTTACTGAAGTTTTTGTCATTTCTTTCAGGCTGACATATAATAACTCCTATTATTACAGAGTTAGGGTAGTTTTATACAAGACCTGGTTTCTTTATCGGTTTTTGAAACAGTTTTGTATTTCTTCTTCCTAAATATTTAAAATAACATCTAAAAATGAAACCCTTGATTTTACTTTAAAAACTTTCAATGTGACGTTGATATTAGAACGAACATCGTAAAAGAGTTTGTGAAATTATTCCATATTCCAATAAAGTTAGTTATTTTTTCACTCAGAGTCATTGGTCTCGAAAACAAGCACACATAAAATAGCATAGACGATGTTTTGTCTCCCATAGTAACATCATTACATTGTTTATATACGATTTTCTTAAATTATCATTAACCAATTTCCGATATCGATGTTAACCATGAACGAATAAGGTGAAGATATATTCCAAACTACTTAATTCAGAGTTAACCACATTTTATGACAATGACTTGCACCTATACATTTGATTTCTTGAGAACTCTTACCACTCCACAACGTAATGCTCCCCCCCCCTCTCCCCGGGCATTGACTTACTCCACAACGTAACCACCCCTCCCCAGGCATTGACTTACTCCACAAACGTAATGCCCCCTCCCCAGGCATTGACTTACTCCACAACGTAATGCCCCCTCCCCAGGCATTGACTTACTCCACAACGTAATGCCCCCCTCCCCAGGTGAAATGTGTAGCAAAGCTTTAATTTTCTATACTCTTCGTGTAGCAAAGTTGTCATACAAATAAAATCAAAAGAAGTCTTCACTGTTCTACATGAAAAAGGAGAATTGCATGGCAGAGCGTTTAGGGTATCAATGGCTTCTAAAACTGCATTCAAGGTAACTTCATCCGCAAGTGAAGGCTGTGGTGATGAAAATAAATTACCCAAAATACACGTTTGGCCCAAATTAAAAGTCTACAAGCTTCCAATCACACATGGCAATCAACGGTCACTTTCATGGGAAAGATGGTCAAAGATAATGAAATCATGGACATTCCATTTGACCACATACTTGTCAAGTCTCTAAATGTAGCTCCAATGGACTTGTGTCTTTTTGGTCTATGACAGCGACACCTTGGGACAATGAAGGATCTATAAAAGGCTTGGCAAGACGCTAGGTCTAAGATTAACCTCGCCAACCTTCGCAGAAGCTATTACATTGTAGGCATCAGATTAAACACAATCCATGATGCGGAAAGTAGTTTAGAGGGTGGCTAGGCACCTGGAACATCATTCTTAAACATAGAACGATTAACGCTTAAAATTGGTACTTTTACTCAACGATTAACCTTTAGAATTGGTTCTTTTACTCAACGATTAACCCTTAGAATTGGTTCGTTTACTCAACGATTAACCCTTAGAATTGGTCCTTTTACTCAACGATTAACCCTTAGAATTGGTCCTTTTACTCAACGATTAACCCTTAGAATTTGTCCTTTTACTCAACGATTAACCCTCAGAATTTGTTCTTTTACTCAACGATTAACCCTTAGAATTGGTCCTTTTACTCAACGATTAACCCTTAGAATTTGTCCTTTTACTCAACGATTAACCCTTAGAATTGGTTCTTTTACTCAACGATTAACCCTCAGAATTGGTCCTTTCACTCAACGATTAACCCTCAGAATTGGTCCTTTTACTCAACGATTAACCCTTAGAATTGGTCCTTTTACTCAACAATTAACTCTTAGAATTGGTCCTTTTACTCAACGATTAACCCTTAGAATTGGTCCTTTTACTCAAAATAACACGTGTAACAACTTGTATGTCTTTTTGTAATGGTATCAGAGGATAGTGTTTAAAGTGAACAAGATAACTAACACTACCGTGGGAAGATTCTTCGGTTCAAGTTTGGTATAAATATATGTAACGGAGTGTGTATATATCAGTGTGCTATATTGACTCCAAGAGCACCGTTGTTATTTTATCATTTCTTGCGTATCTTTCACTTTATCAATGCTTATATGCATGTATATAATCTGGCAGACGTAACGTACGTTATAGACACAAACACACACAAGTGTGAGCTTTTTTTAGAAATCTGTAATCAAAAACATACGACGTAACACATGTACTTTGTATTCTGTGTTTTTCATTACGTTTTAATCTGTAATCAAAAACATACGACGTAACACATGTACTTTGTATTCTGTGTTTTTCATTACGTTTTAATCTGTAATCAAAAACATACGACGTAACACATGTACTTTGTATTCTGTGTTTTTCATTACGTTTTAATCTGTAATCAAAAACATACGACGTAACACATGTACTTTGTATTCTGTGTTTTTCATTACGTTTTAATCTGTAATCTGGAGCAATCCCCGAGAGATTTCGTAAAGGGATCGGGATAAAAGATCAAACAGTAAATATGTCATTGCAGTTACAAAGTCTGGGCAAACGAAAAAACAGAAAAAGATCAAAACACCATCAGAAAGACCGAGAAAATGAATGAGTTTGTTACTCTACGTTATTGATCATAAAATTTAACTTGTGATAGTTAATTTTGGTGTTTTTAGGCTCAAGACGCTATGACTTTCAGGTGCCCCCCCAGTGGCACAGCGGTATGTCTGCGGACTTACAACGCTAGAATCCGGGTTTCGATACCCGTGGTGGGCAGAGCACAGATAGCCCATTGTGTAGCTTTGTGCTTAATTACAAACAAACAGACTTTCAGGTTAAAAAATTTCCGTTTATAAATGTTATACATAACATCACAAAATGCTTGGATTTTCCATAGCTTTGAGTTCGTTTTCACAAGCAAAGAAAAAATACAACTCACGTTTGGTGATTATATTCAAATTTTCGTAAACCTATTTATTTCTAAATTATTATTCTTTTTCTTGGGTTTATAATATGTGGTGATAAAATTTTATTCAAGAAATTTTTGTACTTATCGAATTAGAAATTAACCCCGAGAAATAACAAATAATAAAAACACAGTTTAAAGATTTTTTTATTCTGATCTCAATATTAAAAACAGAAAAATTATTTTCTCCGCTCAAAATTTAGTGCTAAGGGTAATACAGTTTGTATTACGATCAAAACACGTTAAATCCTATAGGTAAAACGACAATTGAATGAATTTATATATAGCTATGTTCACTAATGTTCTCTGAACTTTGATAACATGCGTGTTATATACATTTATAATTCAAAACAGGCCTTAATAAAAATATAACTCTGCATAACCAAAATAAATTAAGTTATCAGAGCACAGGTTATAATGTGAGAATTATATAATTTGTCCTGGCTTTTGGAGGTAGTTGCGAGAGTAGGCCCCACGTAACGGTGGGGATACAGCGTCTATCAGCCTTACCTCCGTTCGTTAAGCCTCACATGTAAAGAATAAAAGGTCAAAATATAACAAAAGCAAGATCTGGCTAGTCAAGCCCACGACGTCCTATATG